GTCAATTAGTAAAGACTCAACAATCACCTCACTCTCAACTCTGTGGTCCTCAAAAGAAGGACTTTCCTCCACTTCATACCTTTTATCCTTACTTTCCCAAAATTCATCATGAATATCTAGGCTACTCTTTCCAAATTGATAGTTATCCTCAACACCTCTTGAATAATCATCAATATAATCAAATTTAAGAATATCATCAACATTATATTTGGACTTTAGTAGACTTATATCATTAGTGGAATTCAACAAACAATCATCAACTTTGTCATTATTCATAATTAATGGTACATTAGGCTCATTATACAAATTGATGATATTTGGAAAAATAGGGTCATCAACCTAAGGTTTTTCAAGAAGAGGCTTCTCAAAATTTTCATTTTCATTCATTTGAACCCTAAAAGCCTCACTATGATGATTCATGGATGTACAATTGCTCTTTATGTCCATTAGATTCTTAGAAATCTCTTCACTACTCTCTAAAAAACATTCTAGAGTGAGCTCTAAAGAAGACTTAGGTACTTGAGGATGGGAGAAATTTCGAAAATCACATTGGGAAGAGGTGTCAACATGATGCACATTAGCCACATCATAAGGAGTACATGACATAAAATTGAAATCTAAGAAAAAAGTTAGGGAATTTTGACAATTTACATCACCAAAACTTGAAACATTAGAATCCAAAACATTATCATCACATTCTTCAAATGAGTTCCCATCATTAAAATGGTCATAAGTCTCATGATTAGCCATCTCCCAATCATAAGTATCTTTTGAAAAGAATGGTGTTCTTCCAACAAGTGTATTATTCCAGTAAAGGGTTCAGAATTATTAAAAAGCTAATTCTTCAGTAAGATCAAGTGATCGGAATGCCTAGGTGGAGGCCGCTTCCGATCAGTAATATTAATATATAATTAATATTACAGCTTAATCTTGACTGAACCCTTCGGGTCGAACACAATCGAACAACCGGTCCGAGACGACGAGTCAATCCGAAGGATTTGATGAGTCGCCAGAGTTTTACGAACTAAGACGTCGGATACCGAGCTTAGAGCGTCGAGACTGAGCATCGCAAGTCGAGTCGAATTTAGAAATCAACGAGACGCGAAATTAATCAAGTTACAAGTTCGAGTTAGGTCGTAGCTTCGCATTGGCTTAGCCATGCGAGGGAAGCTATCTCAAGCTAGCATGTGCATCGTAATGCTAGTCGCAAGCGTAGCATGCTAGGCGTGCTAGGCCCATGCATTCTAGCTAGCCACCGCAAGCATCGCAGCCTTGCGTGTGTGCTAGCATGCCATGTGCCCAGCCATCGCAAGGCTAGGCCTTGCTGGCATGCTAGGTGCTGGCGCACAGCTAGCCCAGCAAGCATCGCAAGGCTAGGCCTTGCTAGCATGCTAGGCGCTAGCAGCATCGCACAACACCACGCATCAGCCAACATCGTGCAAAGCTGTGCATGTGTGTGCGTGTGCCTCGCATAGCATCGCACAACACCACGCACCAGCCAGCAGCATGCTTGGCTGTGCGTGTGGGTGCGTGTGCTTTTCATAGTAGCACCCAGCAAACAGCTTGCAATGCCTCGCCTAGCAGCAACGCCCAACATGCGTGGCTCGCTAGTAGCATGCATGCACTGGCTGGCTGCGCATGCGGGCTGGCTGTGCGTGTGGGATGCTAGCTAGCTGGCCAGGTTGCCCAGCCTTGGTGCTAGGTGCCAGCTGGCAGCCTTGGAAGCCAAGGCAGGCTGCCAGTCAGCCACTTGGATTGGGAGAGCCGGTTTGCTAGTGGGGACCAAGGGGTGTGAGCTTTGCCTTAGGGAGAAAGGCTATGGTCCCCCCCCCCTTGGAAATGGTCCTCACCTAATCTCTCATCCTGCTTGTGCCACTTGTAACTTATTAATTGAATTGCAATTTTATTTTTGTTTTAATTAAAATAAAATGGGAAAATTGCAAATCTCCCACATTGATTGAGAGTGGGAATTCAAGGTTCATTTCCCTATAAATACCAAGGTTTTGGGATTTGGGAAGAACACTTGAGTGGAACTAAAAAGGCATCTCCTTAGAAAAGTGAGAAAACCTTAAGTTCGTAAAACTCTAGTTTTTATTGGTCGGGTCCCGACTAACCTTCGGGACTTGGATTGTCCGAGTCGGGTTCGTGGGTACGAGCCGTCGGAGACCTTCGCATTTGCGGGGTTCAAGTTTTGAAGTAAGAGCTCGGGATTCGAGCGAAGCACGCGCCAAGGGTAAGAATGTCTTTTCTTTTCTCACTTAATTATTGTTTAATTAGCGATTGCATGCTTAGTCACTTTAATTAGTGTGCGGGTCTTGGGCGGGTTTCTCTTCCGCGTAGAGTCGGACTCTACAAAACCAAACAGCGATATCGGAGCCGCGCTCACTTTAATTATTGTGACTAATAATTAATTAAGGTGATTTAAAATGGATTTAAATTTCTGGTTGTGCTATTAGATTAGAAGCTCGTTTTAATTAATTTTAATCTCGTATTTTTTCTAATTTTGGCTGACAAACCCAGATTTCGACTTAAAAATAGTGATTTTTGAGTGGAATCGATGTTCTAAATCGTTTCTGATCCTTATAAGGATGTCCAAAAGCTAAAATCCACCCAGAAATATGTTTTTCGAGGGTTATTTTCGTTTTTGACGAAATTTTTTAAATCTTTTAACCTTGATTAATTATTGCATGTTGAAGGTAGATTAAATGTATGGTTGCATCTCTAATCTAATGCAATTATAAGCCTCATTAAGCATGTTTATGAAGTCATAATTGGTGCTTAATTTGGTGTGCTCACTTTTCACATAAACTTGAATTTTTCACATTATTGCAAATAAATTGCTTTAAGTGTGAATGTTTATAGTGAACTTGCAACTTTAAAGCCCCTAAAATTTCAAAGATCCAATCTTTAATTGTTTATTTGGTTGGAACTTTGATTGCTAAATTCCAAGTTGAACTATATTGGATTTAATCATTTTTTTTGTGTTGATTAAAGTCCTTAAAGTTCAAAACTAGTGATTGAATTTTGATTAATCTTCATATTGGAAGATGTAATTATTCAATTTTACAAAAGTTATTGTTGGGAAATTTTTTCATTGGATGAAAGGGTTTATTTTTCCAACCCCTTTAATTTTGTCAAATCTCATTATTAATTTACATTTGATTAAATTAATTATGAGTGTGGCCCTTAAATTTTGAAGCATCAAGATAGACCTAATTAAATTAATTTAAAGAATGGTTCTTCAATAATTTAGGTTTGTGCCCTATTTAAATTGCATTTAAATAAGTTGGACTTATTTTGATTTTTCATTTTGCTCTAAATTGATTCTAAAATAAATTTAGAATTAATTTTATGTCACATGTATATCGGGATTAAAATCCCAAAATAATAGCATGCAAATCGAGGCAAAATCACCCAAACGCCACCAAGGCTAGCCGGGCTGCTCATGCAACCCACATGTGGCTGCCTTGGTGCACATGGTGGTGCTCCCACCTCGAAGCGTTGCGGCTGTGTGGCAGGGCTAGGAGTGCGCAAAGGACATGCTTGTGGCTTGTGGTGCGTGGCTGCTAGGATGCTTGCAATGAAGCTGGGCAGCAAGGCAGGGAGCCCCATGCAGGCCCAGCAACACCTGCCAGCACGCATTCTAGCATGCGCAGCATGCTGCGATGCATGCTGGTGCTAGCAGGCGCAGCAGTGGCTTGCTAGGCATGCTGCCAACGCCTAAGCAACCCCCCAGCCATAGCCTTGGTGCCTAGCAAGCCTAGCCCCATGGCTAGGATGCTAGACACTCGGTTTAGAAAAGGCTGATTTATCGATGCGTGGGCTATGTGTTTTGCAAATTTTTGCCGTTTTAATTTATTTAATTATTTTAACGAGGCTAGGCCTCGGTTTTTTCCAGCTCTTGCAAAATTTTAATTTTGACAAAATTTGGGTTAATCGGCTTAATTAATTGGATTAATTAAGTTGGATGCGGAATTTAGTGGGAGCTTCGTTAATTGCATGAAATAATTGCGTCTTAATCACATAAAATGTTAAACAACTTTGACTAGTTTTAATTAGGCGCGTTAATCGGATTAACCACCTAAGTTAGTTACTAGTTCACGCGCGTTATGCATTGTTACTTGTTTTTCGTTGTAAAATGCATGGGTCATTCACATATAGTGAATGGATGAATGGAAGATATATTATTTCACAGGTTTCGTGAAAATTGCAACTAGTGGGGCCCGATTAGGATAATAAATACGGACTGCGATCCGTTATGTATTTTTGTAAATATAAATACAGTCTGCTCACCGATGCGTATTTTTGTACCTTAATATTTAGATTAATCCTAGTCGTAGTAACAACACTTACCGAACTAATGCGCGTATGTGATGGGCTACGCCAAAGCGAGGCATCACTACTTCCCTAGGAACGTAAGGTATACTAGGTAAACAAGTTGTCTTGGTTAAGCTCAACGATATCGGTAAGGAGTCCTTAGATGTCGTGGCTATGGAGATAAAATGTCAAGGAAGCATTAGATGCGACGTTTTATCGAACCAAGAGTAGCTTGGAGCTATTAGCAATTGGATTGTTTACCCTAAAATATTAAGTTTTAACACTAGGAGAAAAACCCCAATCCCCACCGGTTCAAACCACACATTCCCCACCGGTTTTGAACCGTTCTTGATTTGGGGGGTGCTAAATCCCTCCCACCGGTTCAAAACCGGTGGCAAAAACCACTTTTCCCACCGGTTTTGGAGTGAACCAGTGGCAAAAACATGTGATTTATCTTGTAGCTGGAGGACTTTTCCCACCGGTTTTCAAGTGAACCGGTGGCAAAACTATAACATTTCCCACCGGTTTTGCACACTGACCCGGTGCCAAAAGTGCCCCAAAAAATTAATTTTTTTTTTTTTTTTTTTTTTTTTTTTTTTTTTTTTTTTGCATTTTTTTCACTTAAATTGTCCCAAATACTTGTATATAATCATAATATACATAAAACACATATATTTGCCTCAATAACTTGTAATATTACACTTTAAAAAAACTAAAAAAAAAAAATGGACATATAAACACTAACATATATATTTTCTTCAAAAACAGCATATTGTCTGAGTTCCAGCAAGAACTATCCTGGTCTTGTGCTGGTGGCTGCTCTGCTGGCTGTTGTGTTGTGTGTTCAGGCTGACAGGCTGCTCTTTTGTTTGCTATGCGACTGTTTCTGTTCTCCTGCACTGATGTGTAGTAGCCTCTCCTGTCATGTGCATAGATGAAGAACTCTTTCTCCACCCCAAAAGGCCAAAACTTAGATGGAAACTTGAGGAAGATTTTTGTATGTACCATCACATCACATTTCTCTATGGCTTCTGTCTTCCACCTTTGTTAATTGCTGTCATTCACAAATTGGATAAGAGATAATATTAATTAACTCATAGCAAAGTATGCATACCATTTCTCACAGAAATTAAAAGAAAAGAATCGAGTTGTGAGTTCTAGAAAATGGAAGGGAAATAAATCTATATATTAAAAGAATAGTTGAGTGAGATAAATGAAATGTTGAGCAGATCTGATTGCTTCAATGTATGCTGTTTGGATGCTCTTGTCTATCACCAAATTCTTGGCACAAACCAGGTTATGCAATGAAAACAGGTTCTACTAGTGTAAGAAGCCTGAGATGATGAAAGAACCTAATTTCACTGTATTTTAAGTAAACTGAGGATCATAGTTCAACAAGAAGAATTCAAGATGTCAACACAACACGCTTCACCTTTGCATCTGCTGCTGCTGTAATCACATTCTTTGTTCCGATCACTGCGGGCTCCAGAGCTGCATGATAGCAAAGAGAATCAGCAGCAGCAACATGATAGAAAAGAGAATCACATATTAAGAATGAAAGACTATAAATACAGATACTGACAATGGCTCCAATATACGAACAATTCATAGGCTCCTACATTCTACCATGTAAAACTAATTCCGCAGACACAAAAAAAACAAAAGTTACAAAAGCAGACACAATAAGCATGCAACAACAAATCATCAATTCCATGAGATTGAGACGCGTCATTGCAAAGATATGATGCTGAAAACATGTCAAGATTCAAGATACAGTACAGTTTATAAGGAAAATGTTCTGCAATAGCAAAAATAACACAATTACAAAATTTGTGTGTGTGTTATGGGGGGGGGGGGGGGGGTTACCTGCTGGTAAGCATGGAAGCAAAGAGAAGCCACCAAGGACCTTGTATATAGTTGTTGGACATTCAATCCCTACCAAAACAGAAAAAATGAATAAGCAAATACATGACGAGGATTAGTGTGCAAAAATCCGACAGGCCATGTGAACGCTGGTATAATGGACCAAGAGATTCCATGACTTGATTTTAACTAAATAACAAATAACAATAACTTAGGAGAAGCACTTCCTGGATAGCACTTACATATCTGCAGAGCACTACACCACCTAGACCAAATGCTTCATAGAAGAAACAATTGACACAACACCAACTTGATGATCAATAATTCAACTGTCAAGAAATAGCCACATGACCAAATAAAAAGAAATATCCAGTAATAAGCAAACCTTTTAGCAAAGAACCCACTTGATCACCAATAACTTAACAGCAAAGAAGCAAGTCAAGGCAAAGGAAATTCCACCAATAAATCAACTGATTATGATAACTTCAAACCTCAAACTTCAATCATATACCCATCTCCTCACCGCAAGGCAATTTTTCTTTGCGAGTCCCGGTGTACGGGTAGTTAGCCATATTAGTCACTAAAAAGCACCATTAACAATAATAATATTCGTAAAATTAATCACTAATCAGAAATTAATTAATACCAAGTCAAACAAACTACAATATCAGATTAGTTATATAGAATTTATATGTTTACCCAAATTTTTTTTGGTTAAGATAGGTTTGTGGATAATTTTTGGTGATAACTGGTAATATTCACAAGCTTGAAAAAACTGCAAAATTAGCTGCCCAAAACTCTGCCACATTTTTATGTAATAAAGGACAATGCAGCAACAGACAAAACGTTAAATCATAACAGCTCTAGAGATCAAACACCAATCCTGCAAGCCTTTCTAATAATCAAAAATCAAACCAAAAACCCTAAGTTTGAAGAATTTTATAATCAATGAGCCAATAGATCAAACCTCAATTAACCGAAACCTTTTTATTCAGCCAACTTGATCACCAAATATTCAACAGCTAACAAAAAACTGCATGCTCAAGAATCAAACCAAAAAATACCCTAATTCGAAAAATTTGAATAGCGCAAAACCTTTATATTCAGCTAACTTGATCACCGATTAGTCAACAGCCAATAAGCAACTGCATGCTCAACAAGAATTAAACCAAACAAAAAACCGAATTCGAAAAAATTGGTAATCAATCAACTCAAATGATCAAGCATACCAAATAGGCAAACCTATTCAATGATCAACAAAATATATTCCCTGAAAGAGGAAGTATAGCATATCGCCTTCATCATGCCAATTTTATAATAGTACCAATTTTTATTTTTTATGATTATATTCCCTGAAAGAGGAAGTATAACTAACAGTAACAGAGGGTTTGAACTATTTTACAACAGAATTCCATGAAGGCAGAAATAATAAATTTAACACACAACTTAACACAGAACAAAAAGACAGTGAACAAGGAGCAGTAGACATAACAATTAATGGAAGCTACATGATTTGCAAACATAATACTGGTGGATAAAGACAAAAGACCACACACAACATCAAAGATTGTATTGAAGAAAGTCATTCGATCCATGTTCACATTTTAAGCATAGGAGAATCCACCCAAAATCTCAAAGCAAACCGTAAAGAACAGAAAACCCTAAAACAATGAACTATTGTTGAATGCACAACTCGAAATTAAGGTCACAAAACCAAACCACAAAGAACAGAAAACCCTAAATCAACGACTAACCCTAGATTGCAAAGGTATTCAATAGACTAGGAAGACCACGAAATATTTCTTACCTCGAAGCTGCTACAATGGAGTTGGAAAGCTCGGAATGCGCTTCAATGGAGGTCACAAAGCTCGATAGTATGCGCTTCAATGGAGGAGATAGCTATATATGGAGAGAAAGAGAGGAGTTGCGCGGCAATGGAGGTGAGAAAGCCCAGGGAATGCGCTTCAATGGAGGACAACCTATGCGTGAAGGAGATGGTGAGGGCAGGCGAGAACGAGAGAAGAAGATTAATTGAAGAGGAAGCAGGGGAATGAAATTGTTCGTGCTGAAGGAATTGAAGAAGAAGAGTATTTCACGGTTTTTTTTTTTTTAATTTGCGTACTTTCCCCACCGGTTTGGGTTGAACCGGTGGCATATCCATTTACCCCCTTTTTTTTTTTAAACAACACATTTAGCACCGGTTCGAAAACATACATTTGCCACCGGTTTCGAAAGAACCAGTGCGAAAAGTAAATATCCGAATCCCGCCCAAATCTTTTCCCACCGGTTTTTAAGAACCAGTGGGAAAAGGGGGGTGCCTTTTTCAATTTTTCTACTAGTGTAAGACAAGCCAAAGCATGCTTTATCACTTTTTGATTTTTGGGATCTTGGAATTATTTTATTCTCTCTTAAAAGAGACTAATGTTAATTCGTGGATAAAATGCTCAATAAGATTGAAAATTTGCATAAACGCTTTAAATTTCAAACTTATTGGTTTATGAATGGTTTTTCATTTCAAATTCTTTCAATTGTAAAAATATGTCTGCAAGTAATTCAAACAACAACTCTATGTGCCCGAAACTCCCCGACAAGTTGACTTTTAGCCTTAACTTGGTCAACTTCAAGGAATGAGAGGAGGAACTCAGGAAAACTCTTCGGAATTGTTCCTTAGAGTACACTCTTGATACTCCTAATCCAAGCTTCTTCTCTAAGGGAATCATGAGCGATGAGGCTCATGATAAATGGTCTTTCGATTGCAAGAAAGTCACACATCTAATGGCTAATTCCATCCCGGAAGATTGGAAGGAAAAGCTCTCCTTCTATTTTCCGGACATTTTCCTCAAATCATTGGAGGATGTTGTCAACATAAGAGTCACCAAGAATGACAATGGCAACCATGATGGACTCGTGTTTGATTTGACTAGGATACTCTCAAACATGAAGATAAAGCCACCGAATGTGGGTTGTCTTGCTAAGGAAAGGCGCCGGCTTTGGTCAAGGGTCTACAATACCAAATTGAGACCCGGGATGCCCCTCCGACCTCATGTGCTTGGAATGACTAGGCTCTTCAAACACATGCAGCTTCTCAGAATCTCATTAAAGGATGAGATGGCGGGGCACATCTTGCTTGCTTCACTCCACTCGGGCTATGATGCACTTAGAGTGCATATAGCTGCGGGAAAGGAGACACGCTTTTTAAAAGAGGTGGTGCAACTACTTAGCCGAGCCACCGCCTATGGAGTGACCGAGAGGCCTTTGAGAGAAAGAAGAAGGAGTTCAAGAACAAGGCAAGGATGCGGTGCTTCTATTGTGGTGGGCAAGGCCACTACAAGAAGGAATGCAAGCTCTTTCGAAAGGAGGAGGAGGAGAGGAATGTTGCATCTGCCTCAGGTATCTTCATTAACACTTGTGTTTAAAGCTATTCATAGGTATTGGATACCATGTATAACTCACTTTATGTTTCCTTTTCAGGAACCAAGTGAGAGGGCATCACAAGTAAGAGGATATTGGATACCATGTGCATCAACAAGCGAACGACAAAGATAGTCTTTTGATCGTGCTTGTAGGCACATTTATTTTGTCTATGACTTGTAATTAAACAATGGTTGTTTCTTATGATTTTGAACATATTTTTGATTTATGGTGTTGGACACCATGTTATTTTGATCACAAGACTTAATCAATGGTTGGTTTGTTAAAAATGTCTTGTTTATATGTTCTATAGAATTATATGTTTAGACAAACTAATGGTACCGCCAAAAGGGCTAAGACCAACGAGTCGAATCAAACCTACTTGTGGCATTGTCGTCTTGGCCACATTAATGTCAAACGCATCAAGAAACTTCTTTAAGAAGGTGTTCTTGACTCATTCGACTTGGAGTCGTTTAAAAATTGCAAAGGATGTCTATTAGGCAAGATGATAAAGCAGCCATTCTCCAAGTTGAGAGAAAGGCCAAGTGACTTATTGGGTCTAATACATACGGATGTATGTGGACCAATGAGTATATACACCCGCAAGGCAAGGTTTTATTGATATTTCATTACTTTCACCCTTGAAAAAAAAAACCTGGGGCGTATTGCTCAAATTATTGGTTCGGTATTGGACGTAGCTTTTCCTCCAGGAAAGATGCCCAATATTTACAATGCTCTAGTAGTTAAAGGTCGAGATACTACTAGGACTACAGTAGATATGGTTATGGCTACCTTATGTTGAACAAATCTGAATATTTTGAGAAATTCAAAGAGTTTCAGAGTGAAGTTGAAAATCAACTTGGCAAGAAAATAAAAGCACTTTGTGGCGAGTATTTGAGCCATAAATTCGACGATCACTTGAAAGAAAATGGTATTCTTTCAGAGTTGACACCTCCTGGAACTCCACAATGGAACGGAGTATCCGAACGGAGGAATCGAACCTTGTTAGACATGGTTCAATCAATGATGGGTCTTAGTGAACTTCCTATCTCTTTCTAGGGACACGCACTTCTAACTGCGGCACTAACACTAAACCGCGCTCCGTCAAAAGCTGTCGAAAAGACTCCATATGAATTATTGACGAAGAAACCTCCGAGGTTATCTTTTCTTAAGATTTGGGGTTGCGAAGCATATGTCAAGATCACCCAAACTTCACCCAAAATCACACAAGTGTTTCTTTGTGGGCTACCTAAAAGAAACCAAGGGGTATTACTTCTACAATAAATCCGAGAACAAAGTGTTTTTTTCTCGTGATGGTATCTTTTTGGAGAAGGAACACCTTTCCAAAATGACAAGTGGGAGGAAAATCGAAGTCGACGAAGTTCGAGAGGTAGAGCAACAAAGTCAACATGACAAAATTGACAATTAAAGTGCTTTAAAAGCAGCTATTGACATTGGTCAGAGTCAAACCGATAATGCAAATGCTCAACCTATTACCCTGCGTAGGTTGCAACGACCAATATCTCAACCAGATAGATACCTTGGTATTGTCTTAACCGAAGATCGAGACATCCTAGTTACAGATGGAGATGAGCCAGCGACATACAAACAAATTATAACGAGCCCCAACTCTGCTAAATGGAAAGAGGCCATGAAATCCGAGATTGACTCCATGTCTGAAAATTAAGTTTAAGACTTGGTTAATTTGCCCGAAGGTTATACACCTATCGGATGCAAATGGATTTTCAAATTGAAAACAAACAAAGATGGAAATAGACTGGTGGAAAAAGGTTACAAGCATATTCACGGAGTTGATTATGATGAAACCTTTTCACCAGTTGCAATGCTTAAGTCCGTCCAGATCATCCTAGCGATTGCTGCATATTACGATTACGAAATATGGCAAATGGATGTCAAAACCGCCTTCCTTAATGGGATTTTGGAAGAAACTGTGTATATGACACAGCCGGAAGGTTTTGTTGATCCAAGCAATGTTGGGAAGGTATGCAAGCTTAAGAAGTCCATTTATGGACTAAAGCATGCAAGCAGAAGTTGGAATCTGCGATTCGATGAAGGCATTAGTAAGTTTGGTTTTATCAAGAATCCAAATGAGTCTTGTGTCTACAAGAAGGTCAGTGGGAGTTACATCGCATTCCTAGTCTTATATGTCGGTGACATATTACTCATTGGAAACAGTACTAAACTGTTAGAGTCCGTAAAGGGCTGGCTGGGAAAGTGTTTTTCAATGAAGGACTTGGGAGAGACACTGTACATATTGGGCATCAAGATCTATAGGAATAGATCTAAGAGGATGATTGGATTGAGCCAAAGTACTTATATAGATAAGGTACTGGCATGATTCAACATGGAAGGGGCCAAGAGAGGGCACCTACCCATGTCCCATGGCATAACTCTCAGCAAGAAACAATGTCCACAGACACCTGATGAGCGAGAGAGAATGAGTCAGATTCCATATGCTTCGCTTATTGGATCGATCATGTATGCCATGATATGTACTAGGCCAGATGTATCGTATGCCTTGAGTACTATGAGCCTATACCAATCAGATCCAGGAGAGGCGCATTGGACTACGGCCAAGAATATCCTAAAGTAACTGAAAAGGAACAAGGATAAATTCCTGGTCTATGGTGGCTGTAATGAGTTGGTTGTTGAAGGTTATACTAACGCGAGCTTCCAGACTAACAGAGACGACTCCAAGTGTCGCAGTCGGGGTACATATTTTGCCTTAATGGAGGAGCGTTTAGTTGGAAGAGTGCTAAGCAGAGCACCACTGCAGATTCTACAGCTGAAGCCGAATAATTGGCAACTTCGGAAGCAGCTAAGGAGGCAATTTGGATTCGTAAGTTCATTGGTGAACTTGGTGTTGTACCCTCAATCAAGGGTCCAATAGACCTCTATTGTGATAACAATGAAGCTATTGCTATGGCCAGGGAGCCAAGGGAACATCAGAAGGTCAAACATATCAAGTGACGATTTCACATGATAAGGGAATGGAAATCCGATGGTGAAATCAGAATTTGTAAGATTGGAATAGACGAAAATGTAGCCAATCCTCTAAATAAACCTTTGTCTCAAGTGAAGCACAAAAAGCACGTTGAGGCAAGGGGAATCAAGCACATTGGATATTGGCTTTGATTTCCCTGTATAGATGTTTTAATTAAACTCGATGTCTTAATGTAAAACACTAGGTTGAACCATTCAATTTTGGAGCAATTAATTTTTCTACAAATTTATGATTGCTCCATATCTATTTAATTGTGGTTTAGAATTAAATAATGAGTCCATTCGATTTTTGAGAATATTCAAAACAGGGTATCAAGACCATGTCTTGGATAAAGAAACACCTGTTAAGTGAACATTGAATATTTTAATCGAAAATTATCACTAATCGAGGTCATTTAAACGATGGACGATTAATGACCACTTGAGATTAGTGTGTAGTATGATTTATAGCACCGTTATTTGTGCTACAAGGACATGAGAGTCATAAATCATTTACACAAGTACTAGTTTGGAACTATACCAGATAGACCTATGAGAATACTTTAAGAGATATCAAATCGTCATAAGTATTTTTCTCATTATAGCTATCAGAACCTTTTTCCTC